TTTCCATTTTCCCCTTGCAAACTGCGGTTGTAGGAACCACGGATACATGTGCAAGCTTGCAAGCAAGAGGATCTCAGTTTAGATCCCCAGCACCCATGTGTGTGCTGTGTGGGGTGGTGGCCCATCTCTAATCCCGCACTTGGGAAGTGAAAACCGGGGATCCCTGAGGCAAGTCGCTGAGTCAGTGAGTTCTGCATAGAGTGAGGAACCCTACCACAACATAGAAGGTGACTGAGAAAGGCACTGTCAACCTCTGGCCTCCACAGGCACACACGAATTCATGTGCCTGTGTGTGCGCACGTACACACTCACACACCACACACACTCACATACATATGCGAAAACAAAACAACAACCAGGGTTGGGGACCCCACCTACTCCCCTAGATACACTATGAAGACAAAGTGGGTGGTATTTGAAGGCCTTGGAAAACCCCACTAGAGAGTGTTAGTAATCTGGGATGCACCATCCACTTCAAGGCCTCCCACTGGTGACCTTTTGCCAACCCACTCGGGTTACAACATTAGGCCCTGAGCATCCCTGCCCTGGCCATGCACTTCTCTCTGCAGAGATCCATGCTTTTCCACTTCCTCTTTCGGTCACGTGCTATTGCATGAAGACCCAGAGTGACAACTGGACAGGCCCCTCAGAATTGCTAAGCAGCCAAGGCTGAGGTGGATGCTAGAAAATGCAATCATGGGGGCTGGGAGATGGTTCGGTGGGCAAAGCATTTCCTGTCCAAGCATGGGGACCTGAGTTCCATCCCCAGGACCTAGGCAAAGGCAGAAAGAGAGAACCGGACCCACAAAATTATCCTCTGATGTCCACATGTGCGTCATGGCACACAGGTTCCCCACCCCCAACAAATGCATAAATTGATCAATCAATTTTTTTTAAGATGGGCTTTAGCAATGGGAGCTTGTAACCTCAGCGCTGGAGCAGAGAGAGAGGGGGATCCCTGAAGTTCATTGGCCAATCCGTCTAGCCAAATCAATGACCTCCAGGGTCTGTGAGAGGTCCTGTCTCCAAAAACTAAGACGGACTGAGACTGGAGAGATGGTTTAATTGAGGAGTGTGCTTTCTGCTCAGGCAGAGGACTCGAGTCCAGTTCCCAGCCTCCAAGAAGGGCTGCCCACAATGCTCCCAACTCCAGGGATCTGACGCCCTCTTCTGGTCTCTGATGGTACCTGCACTTGCACACACACACACACACACACACACACACACACACACACACACACACACACACACACACACCACACTTTAAAATAAAAATGAAATCTAAATGAACAAATGTGGAGAGAAATGTGGGAAAGATACCCAGCATCAACCTCTCTGGCTTCCACACTGGGGTGCACCCATGTGTTTATGTACCGCTGTGGACCGGGGGTTCCCAACTAACCCAAGCAGACACAAGAGGTTACTGAAGGGCAAGATTTAATGCAGGGCGGCAGAGGAGAAGGGGGGAAGTGGAGGGGGCTGATCAGGGCCACAGAACAGACTTGGGAGCTGAACTTCTTCCCCAAGTGCCAGCTGGAGCAGGTATTTAAGCACAAAAGTGGCAAACGCTTGTTGCAAAGTTACAGTTATAGTTTCTACCAATCAGAAATCAGAGATTAGGGGCTTTCCTGAAATGCTCCATCAATGTCAGCTGAAACAAAAGTGTTTCAGTCCAACCAATCAGATTCATTGGTTCCTCCTGTCATTAGGAACGCCCGTGTTTCCAGAGAACTCAAGATGCATAACGACTCTTTCTATGGTTTAAGGAGGAGGTGGGTCAGCCACTGGAAGGTTCTCAGCGCCCCTGGGACCCGAGAGCCTGAATTTTCTTTTTTTTAAAAATGATTTATTCCTTTTAATCTTGTGTTCATTAATGTTTTACTTGTATGTATGTCTATGTGAGGGTGTCAGGTCCCCTGGAATGGAGTTACAGATAGTTTTGAGCCACCATGTGGGTCCTGGGAATTGAACCAAGTCCTCTATTAGAGCCAGTACCCTTTTTTTTTTAAAGACTTATTTATTTGTTTGTTTGTTTGTTTATTATGTATACATCATATATGCCTGTAGGCCAGAATAGGGCACCAGTTCTCATCACAGATGATTGTGAGCCACCACGTGGTTGCTGGGACTTGAACCCAGGTCCTCTGGAAGAGCAGTCAGTGCTCTTAACCTCTGAGCCATCTCTCCAGCTCCCTGAATTTTCTTTCACCCTACAGGTTAAATGGAGTCTGAGGTTAGAATGGCAGCACTCGGGACAACATGCTTTTTGCCTGTTGCCAACAATACATACGCTGTACACGCAGACATCACATGGTGTACACAGACAGAAAGGTAACAATCAAAACAGACGGTAGACAGTCCAGTTACTGCCCTACCCACTTATCTCGCGTGGTGTACTCAATGAATCTTTTGTCCTATCCAAAAATAAGAAGGAAAATAAACGCTTTAACACACACACACACACACACACACACACACACACACACACACACACACACCAGTGCATGATAGGTGTTTCTGTGACTTCTCTCATGGCGGTGCCGGGTGAGAATTCTCACCGCTGGCTGATGAGGCTGAGGCAGGTAGGGTGAAGGCATGGGAAGCACTGACTGGGGTCTTGCTAGTTTTCACTCTGTATGAAAGGCAGTGGAAGGATTGGGGATACGGCTCGGTTTGTGGAATGCTTGCCTAGCATGCGTGAGGCCCTGGGTTTGGTCCCCAGCACCGCATAAAACAAGGCCTACAGATGGATACCTGTAGTTCAAGTAGGAAGGGAGGCAGGAGGAAAAGTTCAAGGTCATCCTGGGCCACAGGAGAACCTGCTTCAAAACAAACAAAAGCAAAACAAGTTTTAAAAAATGGGGGTTTAAGAAAGCATTGGCTGTTCTTCCAGAGGTCCTGAGTTCAATTCCCAGCAACCACATGGGGGTTCACAACCATCTGAGATGTGGTGCCCTCTTCTGGCTTACAGGTGTACATGCAGGCAGATCACTGTATCCATAATAAATACATTTTTAAAAAAGGGGGGGGGTAGAGGAGCAGGAAGAGGAGGAGGAGAGGCAGAAGGATGAGCAGCGAGTCTGGGGACATCTGGATTCCTTGATGTCAGCCTTGCCTTCATCTGGGGCCTTACCTCCTGGCTTCCTGGTGTCCACCCTAGCTCTAGTCATTCTGAGCACTAATCTGTAAGGTGTCTGGTCCAGGGTAATTGTCTAAGAGAAATTGTCTCAGAGCTGATCCATCTTATATTTATTCTAAAACTGTTGGACACAGGGCTGGGGACTTGATGGGCATAGATGTTGGGGGCACTGAGGTCCTTGGACTCACAGAGAAGCACTAAGAGAACCAGGGATGTTAACCATGCAGGGGTGTCTCCTCCAGGGAGATAAAAACCAAATTCTATCCAGAAGGCTGGGAGTGGATTTTGTTAATGATCTGGTGACCTTTTTGCTATCTGTGGAGGCAGACATCACCCAAATCCCCCAGAATGATTATCCCAGGCTCTTCCCTCTCTAGACAGTTACTCACATGTACTTTTTTTTGTTGTTGTTGTTGTTGTTGTTGTTTTTTGTTTTTCGAGACAGGGTTTCTCTGTGTAGCTTTGTGCCTTTTCCTGGAACTCACTTGGTAGCCCAGGCTGGCCTCGAACTCACAGAGATCCGCCTGCCTCTGCCTCCCGAGTGCTGGGATTAAAGGCGTGCGCAACCACCGCCCGGCTGTCACACGTACTTTATGGGCTACTGAACGCGATGCTATCTCGGTCAGAGACCACACTAGATTCTAGGCCTTTTAGCTACAGAACTCACCCTCACGGTCACATGTACTTTGTAAAAGAGTTTCTATGTAGTCACACCTTAGGCTTTATTGTACATCTGGAATTGGACTGATTGTTGCCTGGAAACCTTTCCCCAAATTGTGCTGGGGTTTAAGTCTGCTGACAATGAACCACCTGGCCTTAGACTCCCTGAAGTCTGATCCAGGTAGACGAAGTCAATCTGCACCAGGTTTTCATTTTTATCTCTTTACAGGGTCCACTTCCCTGTCTGACACCTGCAGGGACCCTGCACCACCACCCCACCCCCCAATAGAAATGAAGCATTTATCTTTATAGACTCACCCACCATAAGGCATGTTTAATAAAAATTTAATGGATAGAGAAACTCTGTCTTGACAACAAACAAACAAACAAACAAAAAGTTTGGTGGATGAATGCATGGGTGGGTAAGTTGATTGGTTAAAGAAACAGTAGATGAATGGATGGATGAACAGATGTATGGATGACAGATGGATGTGAAAATGGGGTTACTGATAATTATCTAGAGGATTGTCAAGTTTATTTACCCCCATGGACAAAAAAAAATTGAACTTTTGGGAAAGACAGGGAAACTAAGGCACAGAGAAAAAACGTAATGACTTTATCCCTTCAGGGTGTGAGGAGCCCTAAGGTTCAAGGTCCTTAAGTGGATGCTGGCTTGGGTATTTCATAATGTCTCAGGGTCCTCCTCTTGCCCTGTTTAGATACCCACCCCTGTGTCTTCCCACCATTTCTCCTCCCAGTGCCTTCTGGGAACAAACCACCATCTCAGGGAGCCTGCTTTTGCCTCTCTAAGTTTCCTTTAGATGGACAGATGAATGGACAGGTAGATCAATGGATGAATGGACAGATGGAAGGAAGGCAGATAAAGATGACTCCACCCATTGCACAGCTACAAAAACTGAGGCTCAGAGAACCAGGATCCCACATGAGAAGCAGCGGAACCAAGTCAACGGAAACGGTCTTGGCCCAGGCAGGATGACAGCCCTCCCCCAGATCTTTGTTGCTAGAGCCCCAAATCATCCCTGACTCAGCGGGACAAGAAATGGACAACAACTTCCTCTTTTTTAGACCACAGAATGCTCATGATTTTCGAGGAAGCCTGTGGGGAAGAGGGAGGGAGGAACTCCAGTGTGTGTCTCTCCGGAGCTGTCCATATAAAGGCCAGGGGGAGAGAGGTTGGGGTGTCCTCATATCTCCAGGCCCTTCTTCTTGCACCCCAGCTTTGACCTCTGAGCTGAGGCCTCTAATCTCCAGGACATGGCAGGCCCCGCCACCATTGTCGCCAGCCTTCTTCTGGTAGCTTGTGCGTGCTGCATCTTCCCCACAGGTGAGACTTCGGGGGGGGGGGGGGCAGCCCGGGGCTGCTGGCAGCAAAAGCTTTTAAAGGTTTAGGCGTGATGGAGGGTGGGGGAACTGAGCAGCCTGGGGCTGAGGGGGGCGCTAAGGGGCCTGGGAGTATAACAGCCTCTGTGTCTGCAGCTGAGAAAGAGCCTACGGCAGGCTGGATGTTGACACACAGCTTCTCTCTCACCTTGTAGACTCTGTGACCATCCCATCCTCCTGCTGCATATCCTTCATTTCCAAGAAAATCCCGGGAAAGCTAGTGGTTAGCTACCAGTTGACCAATGGTAGCACCTGCCGCAAGGCAGGGGTGATGTGAGTATCGAACCCAGGAACCCCTAGGGTCCCTGAGGAAGTTCAGCCCTGGGCATCTTTGAAAGTATACGAGACCTCTCTGGAGGTCTCCTTCAGCTTCCTCACCCATAAAACTAGGAGGAAATGGGGGGTAGCAAGGGGGCGCAAATAGGTCAGTAAGAGTGCTTGTCTAGAACATATGGAGGCCCGTGTTCAGTCCCCAACATCACATAACAGCCAGGACACGATAGTAGATGCCAGTAACTTCAACACTCAGAAGGCTGAGAACATCCATGAAGGACCCAATGCAGGCAAGGCATTGTGCATGGAGGGAAATGCATAATTCATTATCCTAACTAATCTTAATTCCACGAGACAATACTAGAAACTCTGCCTAGAATCCCCCAGTGAGGGTCAGGGGGTGTGGCTCAGTGGTAGAGCACCTGCCTAGAATCCCCCAGTGAGGGGCTGGGGTGTGGCTCAATGGGAGAGCCCCTGCCTAGAATCCCCCAGTGAGGGGCTGGGGTGTGGTTCAGTGGTAGAGCACCTGCCTAGAATCCCCCAGTGAGGGGCTGGGGTGTGGCTCAGTGGTAGAGCACCTGCCTAGAATCCCCCAGTGAGGGGCTG